GGTTGAGGGAGATAGGGGTGCCCTTGTAAGAACCCAGCTGGCCGTCGAAGACGTCAGAGAACTCTGTGAGGACATCGTCCAGAGAGGAGGTAACCACACTATGCCCCCACCCCCGATAGATAGCTCCAAGGCAGGAAAGCAATCGAGCCACAACAAAGCAGGCAGGAAGTCTCTTACAATAAGAATAGGCAAACGGCCATGAAAATCCCCATAGTCAACCCAAATAGGGAAAGAACCCAGGGTGGGAATGAGAGTCCCCTGATAGTCCCTAAGGGAGGTGTCCACAGGTTGCAGCTGGGCACAGGAGATGTGGGGACACAGGCGGGAGAAGGTGGCCCAGGAGAGCAGGGAGTGGGAGGAGCCAGAGTCCACCTCCATTCAGCAGGGTTGACCTTCCAGCTGGAGTGCGGCAGAAACCTTCCGGTCTCCGGTGGACGCCTGGCTGACTGTTTCACCGACGATCTCCGGCTGGTAGACGGTGTGGCAATCTTCAGCCCACCCAGCGGCGGCTGGCAGCACGGCTGCAGTTGTGAAGCGGCAGGCTGTTGCAGGAAAGATGGTGCAGGAAGAGAGGCACGGCAAACCTGGGCAATGTGGCCCTTCTTCTTGCAACGGCGACAGACTGTCCCTTTGAAGGGGCAAGCTGTGCGGGCATGGTGACCACCGCAATCCATACAACCGGTCGTGGCAGGGGCAACTGGAGGAGGTGGTGGAGGGTGCCTAGGCTGCCCCCGGAGCTGGCCAACTAATTCAGAGCAGTGGTCTTTGGGTGGCACCAACTTGTCCATGAGGCAGGCTTGTGTGGCAGGTGGAGGGCATCCAGGCAGCATTGGAGGAGGAGGCAAGGAGAGCTGCAGGCATTGCATATTGGCCGTGGACTGCTCAGACAGTTCAGCTGCTCTGGCAGATTCCACGGCCTGCTGCATCGTGATGTCGGGGTGTCGCAGGAGGCGGCTTCGCAAGTTAATGTCCTTCACCCCACACACAAATTGCTCGACCAGATTTTCATCCAAATTCTGGAAGTCACACTGGGCCGCCGTTACGCGGAGCGACTCCAGAAATTGGCTGATGCTTTCCGCTGGCTTCTGAATGCACCGGCGGAACGCGAAGCGGCGAGCAATGCGAGAGGGTGCCGGGGCGTAGTGATTTTTCAGCCGGGACATTAGTGTGTCCCAGCTGAGCTGGTATACAGGCCGCGGTGCGGCTAAAGCCCTGGCAGACACAAACATCGCGGGTCCGCAACAGCTCAAAAAGAAGCTGCATTTTTCTGCCTCCGGTTGATTGTGGTTCTTAGATGCTATTAAATAGCATTCGAATCGCTCCATGAAACCTTCCCAGGTTTCACCAGCGGCTTCGAAGGGAGCGAAGGGCGGTAAGGCAGATGCCATGTTCGCCGCAGGAGAAGTGTCAGTTCAGTAGACTCGAGAGAGGGTAGACAGGGAGCGTAGAGAAGGAAAGAAAAAAATTCAGTGGTTCGTCGCACCGGCGGTCTGACGTGGCTTGAGTGGCTATAGCTGAATCCCTTCTCGCTCTGTCCTAGGCCTGACTCGGGGAAGGCCATAAGCGGAGTGTTGGAATGCAACTGCAGTTGGCGCAGGGTTGGCTGCAAGGCGATGGTGGCTGGCCTCTGCGTATTGGATGGAGTCGTGGCTTCCGGGGTTGGCAGCGCCTCAGTTGGTCCACATGGTGCCGCCATTCGCTGTCATTGGGTAGGTGGACCCTGTAGGAACAGGGGGCGGTTATTTCGGTGACGGTGGCAGGCATCCACCGAGGGTCCCCTGTATAGTTCCTGGCCCACACTAAATCACCCACCCCAAAGGGACGGGAAGCGGCCCTCAGGTTGCCAGGCTGTGTCCCTGAATAGAGTGGGTGCAATCTATCCAGGGCAGGCACTGGCCCATCAACAGCTCCATGGGGCTTCTCCACATGAGGCGGCAAGGAGTGGAGTGCTGGGCCATAAGATAAGCATCCACCTTTGCCTGCCAGTGACCACGGCCCATTCGTCCCAAAGCCTCCTTGGCCGATTGGACCGCCCTCTCCACCCAGCCATTGCTGGCCGGATGGTAAGGGCCCACTGGAGTGTGGCAGATCCCCTTGGTGGCCAGGAAGGCCTGGAACACTGGGGATGAAAATTGCGGCCCATTGTCGGATACCACAACGTCCGGCAGGCCATGTGTGGCGAAAAGATGCCGCAAGGCCCACACTGTATTCCCTTCAGTGGTGGAGGTCATAAGAACCAACTCCACCCAGCAAGAGTAGGTATCCACAGCCACCAGGAATACCTGGCCATGGAAGGGACCCGCAAAATCAAGATGTAGGCGGGACCCCCTAGGAAACTCCCACTCCCGAGAATAGGCAGAGGGGGCTGCAGGGCAGGACACCTGGTAGGGCACACACATCCCCACCCAGCCCTCAATCTCGTCATCCAGGCAGGGCCACCAGACGTAACTTTGGGCAAGTGCCTTCATGCACGCAACCTCAGCGTGGTCTGAGACGAGAGAGGACCTGGGGCCAGAGGGAGGGGGGAATTACAACCCGGTCGCCCCACAACAGGGAACTGCAATGGAGTGACAGTTCCAGCTGACGCGTTTTGAAGGAGCGGAACCCCAGATAGACTCCCCCTGTAGGCCAGCCCCTCAGGACCCATGCCATGACTCGCGATAGGACAGGGTCGGCTTCAGAATGGGCGGCCACATCAGTGGCTGAGAGCGGAAGGTCCAACTCAGAAATGGAGAGGACCGAGAGGCAAGGGACCGGTTGAGAGTCAGAACAGGGTAGAGAGCAGCGGCTAAGGGCATCCACATGCCCTAGCTGCTTGCCAGTTCAGTATCTCAGCATGTAGGAGTATGCTGTGAGAAACTCCGTCCAGCGGGTCATTCTGGGAGACAGGATGGGGGGAGTCGGCCTATCACTGGCCAGAAGCCCATGGAGCGGCTTGTGGTCGGTGTAGAGAGTAAAGTGCCGACCGTACAAATAATCGTGGAACTTTTTAATCCCGGACACCGCAGCCAGAGCCTCCTTGTCAATCTGGCTGTAGTTCCTCTCGGCCAAGGAAAGTGTCCAGGAATAAAAACCCATGGGGGCCTCCGAGCCATTGGGAAGAACATGGCTCAGGAGCGCCCCCAAGCCCACGGGGGAGGCATCACATGCCAACGTCAGTGGCATCTTGTCGCTATACTGAACTAAGACTGCCTCTGATGTCAGCATGGCTTTGACAGCCACGAACTCATGTGCCTCGTGACTGCCCCAGCACCAGGCCGCAGATCAGTTGAGCAACCGATGCAGCGGCTCGGCTAGTGACGCTTTGTATGGCAAAAAAGGCACGTAGAAATTTAAAAGGCCAAGGAACGCTTGCAGCTCTGCCTTGGAAGTGGGTGCAGGGGCGTTCCTGATGGGCGTGATTTTAGAGGGGGTAGGGTGGATTTCCTGGGCATCAATCATGAAGCCCAGGAATTCCACCTTGGGCATAGCAAAGGAGCATTTGCTGCGCTTCAATTTAAGACCCGCACTCCTGAAATGGTCGAGGACCTTCCGTAGTACTTCGATGAGCCCTGAACGGCTGGCGGCAGCGATCAGGACGTCATCAAAGTACGTAACAACACCAGGGAGCCTATGGAGCAGCCGCTCCATGAGGCTCTGGAAGATCCCCGGGGCAACAGAGACGCCAAATTGAAGGCGGCGACAACGGAATGCCCCACGGTGGGTGACGATGGTCTGGGCGGCCACCGCATCATCATCCACCGGGAGCTGCTAGTAGGCCTGCACCATGTCCAGTTTGGCAAAGGTGCAGCCCCGCCCCAAGGAATGGAGCAGGTGCTGCACCACAGNGCCCGGCCATTGCAGGCTGGGTGGTACGGGGCTGTGGGTGCATGCCAGATCCCTTGTTCGGACAAGAACTCCTGAAATGTGGTGGAGGTAAATTGCGGCCCGTTGTGGGAGACGAGGACGTCCGGCAACCCATGGGTTGCGAACAGCCGTCGGAGGGCCCTGACCGTACTCTTGGCCGTGGTGGAGGTCATGATTACCAGTTCCACCCACCGAGAGTAGGCATCCACCACAATCAAGAAGGTTTGGCCGTGGAAGGGGCCGGCGAAATCCACGTGGAGGCGTGACCACGGGCCTCTCGGAGCCTCCCACTCGTGAGCAGGCCCGACTGGGGGGTTTGGCCTGGAGAGCTGACAGGGGGTGCAGCGGCCTACATAGGCCACTATCTCTGTGTCCAGCAAAGGCCACCAGACATAGCTGCGGGCCAATGCCTTCATGCGCGCTATGCCTGGGTGGTCCTTGTGGAGCAGAGGAAGGACTTGTGGCCGAAGTGCAGCAGGGATCACAACCCGATCCCCCCAGATGAGACACCCCCCGTGAAGGGAGAGCTCCGCTTGCCGGGCCTTAAAGGGCAGAAGTCATCAGCCACCTTGTCCGTAGGCCATCCCCTCAGAACCCAAGAGCAGACCTGGGCGAGAATTGGATCGGCCTTAGTATAGGCCGCGACATCCACGGCCGAAATGGGCAGGCCGGAAGACGCTATTGATAGGACTGAGAGGGCTGGCACGGGGGTGGAGTTGGTCTCTGGCAGTGGGCAGCGGCTGAGGGCGTCAGCATGCCCTAGCTGCTTGCCCGGACGGTAGAGCAGCGTATATGAATACGCTGTGAGGAACTCCGTCCAGCATGTCATGCGGGGGGAGAGGATTGGGGGGGTCAGCTTGTTGCCTGCCAAAAGCCCAAGGAGAGGCTTGTGGTCAGTGACAAGGGTAAAGTGCCGACCATAGAGATAGTCGTGAAACTTTTTAACCCCGGACACTGCAGCCAGAGCCTCCTTGTCAATCTGGCTNAAGGAATGGAGCAGGTGCTGCACCACAGGGACTGGATAGGGGTTTGCCTGGAGGCCAAGGTTGATGGTCGACTTATAGTCAGCGCAGATCCTGATAGACCTGTTGGTCTTGACAAGTACCACTATTGGGGTCTCTCATCGCGAGTGATCAACGGGTTCCAGGACACCCTGCGCCAACAGCTTGTCAAGTTCAGCATCAACCTTGGGCCTCAAGGCAAAAGGCACCCGGTGGGCCTTCAGCCTTATAAGGGCAACCTGGGGGGTCTAGGTTGAGGGAGATAGGGGTCCCTTTATACCTCCCCAGCTCACCATCAAACACATCGGCGTAGTCTGCCAGGACGCCCTCAATGTCAGGGGGCGTGTCCACCGCAAGGTGCACCCTGGAGAGGGAGAGACCCAATGGGGTGAACCAGTCCAGGCCCAAGAGAGCCGGCAGCGGCTCTTGAACTACTAAGACCGGTAGGGAGCAGCATTTTTCCCCATACTCCACCCGCACCCCACAGCAGCCCAGGGTCAGAATCTGAGTCCCCTGGTAGTCTCTTAGCACAGTGTCCGGAGGCGACAACTGCAACTTGGGGATGCCGGGGCAGAGGTGGTTGAAGGTGGCCCAAGAGAGCAGGGACCGGGAGGACCCAGAGTTCACCTCCATCAGGCACAGCGCCCCCTCGATGAGGACAGTCACTTAAATCTTTGAGCCGACCGTCGCCTGGCTGACTGATTCTGCAGGGGTGGCAGGGAGGTCTTTATCGATGGTGAAGCAGTCATTGTGGTGGCGCTGCTGATGGCGGGGTTGCTGGCTTCTCAGTTGGGCAGATGGGCCATGGGAAGGCAGAGGTGGCTCACCAGGTGCCCCTTCTTGCCGCAGTGGTGACACACTGACGCTTTGAATGGGCAGGATGCCTGGGCATGGTTGCCTCCGCAACCAAGGCAGGCGGTGGCTGCCGCAGCGGCTCAGGATTGAGATAGCAGCTGCCACCGAGGAACAGCTCTCAGGTGGTCGACCTGGTCTTCATCGTCTGGGTCAGGCAGCAGGGCTAGCTCGTTGATCAGGCAGGCTCACAGAGAAGGCAGCGAAGGCGGAGGCATGAACCTGGCCATCTCGACGGTTGACTGCTCTGACAGCTCCGCCGCTCTAGCCTTGTCAACTGCTTGAGGCAGGGTGATGTCCGCCTTAGTGAGCAGCTGCCACTTGAGGCAAATGTCCCTCATGCCGCAAATGAATTGTTCAACCAAGTTGTCCTCTAGGTTGAGAAACTCACATTGGATGGCGGCAACCCTGAAGGATTGAAGGAACTGACTGACTGATTCAGTTTCCTTCTGCACGCACTGGCAGAAGGCATAGTGGCACGTTATTTTAGAGGGAGTTGGGGCATAAT